GGAAACGTTGTTGAGATGGGTTCTTACAATAGTTTAGACCAGATACATTCGCGAAAGTGGTCGCTTATTACAGGTGTTGTATGTTGTTTCGGACCAAAAATCGATGCCCGCGGTCGCGTTACACAGGTGGTCGTTTAATACAGGTAACTTATACGAAGACTCTATGGATAAACTATTCCGTGCCAGAAATTTTTGCCCGTTTTGACAGGTGCCCGTCGAATGCAAGTGGTCGCCTAAGCAGTTTTCACTGTATATTCAATTAGCGTCAATGGTTACAATTATTATGCTCTTACTTCAACATGTTTTCCCACTCCAGTATGAAATAAAGCGCCAGCTCTATATTTATTTTCTTTAATTGCTGCAATTAATTCTTCATATGTACGAGGAACATCTTCATTATCGGAATGAATAACGAAAGACATAATCGCCCCACTGTAACTGGACACTAGTACAAACGACGAAACTATCCAAGCAAATATCATCCCTCTATTGCTTCTATTCATTTCAAAAATGTCATTTCCTAAATAAATAATTACGAAAAATATGACTGTTGCTATCCACACCTAAAATAATTAAATAAAAAATTATTAATGCAATATGCAACATTGAATAGAAAAATAAAGTAACTATTTCTTCAATTGAATACAATTAATACCTTTTGTTCATTTCAAATTTACTAAGTTTAAAAATTTATTATAAATCTGTATTAGTAAATAGTTAAAACATTATACATAGCAAATATTGTAAGACGTTTGGTATAGGCCTACATATTATAAACATATAGTAGCCTATTGTTGAGTTTGAGAGACTACATTCGAAAACTGTTCAGAGAAGTTTTTTGAGTTGAATCGGTTAAATATTAAAATACAGTTTTTCGTTTATCACACATCGTTTATCCAATAGTCACAGCATTCCCACTGGAACTTTGGCACTGCAGAATCCTATGCCGAAGCGCTTTTTAACATTTGAGCTTTGATAACTGCCGTTACTGAATGAAAACCAAGCATTTCAATCCAGATTGATCCTGAATTTTGGACAGCAAATAGAAATCAAAGTTTTAAATCCATCCGATCAACTTTTTAATATATTAAACCTGTATCTCATCCATGCATTAAGTTTCTCAATCACACTACATTTACACACTTTTCAGCATTAGTTTAATCGAAAGAAAAGTTTTAGATCCAGTTCAGAGGTCTGCCTCAGGTTAAAAACGTATTAAAATACTAATTAAAAATCTAATTTCTATCTTTACATTTACAAAATTTAAAAAACAAACAATTTAAGTATTTTAAAAGTTGTACAAACAAATAATTTACGTATTTTTAAAATGAAAACATTAAAATAAATATACGTTATTAACAAAAATTTTTAAGTCGAGTCTATGTCGTTCTCTTTCCTTATTGGGTTTAGAGACTGCCATGGTTTAGATAACATTTCTTTCTCCTTGAAATTAATGCACTCATCCTTTCTACATGCTTGAAATATTTCAAAAGCTTCCATTGATCGTAACTTGTTCAGGTCAAACACCTTTTTTAATAATTTAGCCTGGTCCCAACATGCCGAACATGCATTAATTTAAGTTTATTTTCTAAATTATTTGCATATTATTATTATAGATAGTACTTGTGGGTGAAGGCATTAGTTTAGTACAATCGATAGAAAATGTGAGATATCAAGTATATTTTTAGGCACAAAGTACTGTAAGCTGCGCGTGATATATTTTACAGTATTAATATTAACTATGATTATTTCAGGAGATTTATCTTAAAACAATTGACTGATAGAAAATTAAGTTTTTATTTTCGTGCGAGGTTATCAATAATTGCCTTCAAAATATTTCCTATTTGATATTGAATAAAATGTTGGCTAATACAAACAAATTAAGTACAGTAATTTTTTTTAACAGATTACTTTTTATTAGAAATGTATAAACAGTCGTAATTTTGAATATGTTTCAGCCAAAAAATGAATTAAAATTTTAATTTAATGACATTTTTAGATTGACAATAGATTCCGAAATTTCTGATTCTTAAGCTTTAATATACCAAGCGGGGTTCTGTAAAGACTCTGTTATGATTATAAATTTTATATATTTCGTTGTTTCTGTATATACGAGGCATCCGCTTAGAGTTAGTATTAGGTATGTATGCTCACAAAACTTTCATTAAAATATAAGTAAAATAATTAAAAAGAGCTTGGGACCCTTTTGGAACCCTTGGTATACTTTTTAAAAAATCCGTAAATTTAATTTTATAAAAAGACTAAAAAGTAAAATAAGGTAAACTTTAATAACTTTTCTGAAAAAGCCACAGTTAATTGTTGTGTTGAACATGATAATTAATTCTATAATTCTTTCATATAATATACAACTTGAATTTAGTAATCTCAAACTAAACGTCGACAAAAACGTGTAAAAATGCAGTCTTTTTTATTCACTTTTCAAACCTTTTCGTCCATTTGAATTATCTTCTTTAGGAACAAAAAATCGAATGATTTCGACTTCTTCGTTTGTTTCGGAATTTCTTAAACGTTTGAATTTCTTAGATGTCTAGTGCGCATCCCCGTAAGTAAAGAATTACAATATATACGGGATACTTTGGTTATTATTTAAGTGCAGTTAGAGAAGAGTGTAATCATAAAATTAAATTTTTATCAAAATCATTGATATAATATTTGACTGTTTTAATATTAACCAATTTCCATGGAGGATAGGCGATTAGTGCTGTCATATAAAGCAACACGCGTATCAGTTGCACGAAAATTCATATCACAAAACACTCCATGAACATGAGGACAACAGAAGGGGCACAGTAAGACAGTTAGATGCTCGTATTGTCCAAGAAACGGCGATCGAAAAGTAAGCACAATGCTCTAATTCCCAGTGTTTTGTATGTGAAAGACATGGAAACACTATTACAGCTGTAACTTGTGCAAGGAATTGCAGTAACGATTACAACTGTTTTTTTTTCTCTCAAATCTGAATGCAATAATATAATCATAGTACCTGCGAGAATTGCATCTTGATAATCAACGCTGAATAAAACGATTAATATATTAAAATATTTAAATTTTTTGGTTATTTATAGGAAGCATTTTCTAATTTTATATAATGTTTTGCATAAAAATTATTTATTCAAATTAAAAAATCGGTTAGTAATAAAATTTATTTAACATACCGAAATATCAAATGGATATATCACTGCTAGCATTTTGGATAATTCTTCAGNCCACAACGCGGTATTTTCAAGGAACGTATCTACCGCGTTGTAGGAGGCCTACCTGTAGAGTGCTGAGAGGCTTTATGAAGGAGTTAAGTATGGATGTTTACGATTTTGCCGTAGCTTTTAATTATATTATAAAAATAAATAAATATTCCATTATTGTTCACAAGGTCATTATGAGAGCATGGCCAAGAATGATCACGGCTAATGAGAATAGATTTGAGTTGTCTTTCTCTTTCAAGCATTACGCAGTTGAAGATATAATGAGTGCTCCCATCTTCAATTTTACAAGTTGGACATTCTTTATTGATGTATTCAGTAAATCTGTGTAGGTACTTGGCAAATTTACCATGATCGGTGAAAAATATAATATACAACTTGAATTTAGTAATCTCAAACTAAACCTCGACAAAAACGTGAAAAAATGCAGCTTTTTTTATTCACTTTTCAAACCTTTTCGGCCATTTGAATGATCTTTAGGAACAAAAAATCGAATGATTTCGACTTCGTTTGTTTCGGAATTTCTTAAACATTTGAATTTCTTAGATGTCTAGTGCGCAAGCCCGTAAGTAAAGAATTACAATATATACGGGATACTTTGGTTGTTATTTAAGTGCAGTTAGAGAAGAGTGTAATCATAAAATTAAATTTTTTTTCAAAATCATTGATATAATATTTGACTGTTTTAATATTAACCAACTTCCATGGAGGATAGGCGATTAGTGCTGTCATATAAAGCAACACAAGTATCAGTTGCACGAAAATTCATATCACAAAACACTCCATGAACATGAGGACAACAGTAGGGGCACAGTAAGAGAGTTAGATGCTCATATTGAGCAAGAAACGACGATCAAAAAGTAAGCACAATGCTCTAATTCCACGTGTTTTGTATGTGAAAGACATGGAAAGACTATCACAGCTGTAACTTGTGGAAATAATTGCAGTAACGATTACAACTGTTTTGTTTTCTCTCAAATCCGAATGCAATAATATAATCATAGTACCTGCGAGAACTCTATCTTGATAATCAACGCCGAGTAAAAATATTAATATATGAAAATGTTTAAATTTTTTGATTATTTATAGGAAGCATTTTCTAATTTGATATAAGGTTTTGCATAAAAATTATTTATTCAAATTAAAAAATCGGTTAGTAATAAAATTTATTTAACATACCGAAATATTAAATGGATATATCACTGCTAGCATTTTGGATAATTCTTCAGGTTTTTTTGTGTAAAAATTCACTGTCAATACGTTAAAGATGTGAGTATAATCTATCGCTTCTAATCTATCGTATGTTATTCCTGTAGGAAATCCAATATCCACTTCCTAATTAAAAAATCGTTAATTTGTTTTAGGTAATTTATTATACAAGATATTACAGTATTTTACTAGAATATAATATATTTTATCATATAAGTTTTAATATAGAAAATATGAGATGTATTTTGTGAATTTTATTGTGAACTTCATAAAAAATTATACTGTAACTTTCAAATATTACCGCCTGTACGCTCATGTAAAAATCCATTTNATATAATTTATATATAATACTAAACAGACGATAGCAAACTCAATTTAGCCGCTCCGTAGCGTGGCGCAGGGTCGGAGGTAAGTAGTTCGGCTGCTCATCCACTATTGGTCCAGACTCTATCAATCTTCTCGCGAAACGACGTTATAGGAGGTACGATATACGAAAGTTTCTACAATTTTTTTCGCTACGTTATAGGAATTGTCGTTATAGGAACGTACGTTATAGGGGGGTCGACTGTATTAGGTATGTATATGCTCACAAAACTTTCATTGAAATATAAGTAAAATAATTAAAAAGAGCTTGGGACCCTTTTGGAACCCTTGGTATACTTTTTAAAAAATCCGTAAATTTAATTTTATAAAAAGACTAAAAAGTAAAATAAGGTAAACTTTAATAACTTTTCTGAAAAAGCCACAGTTAATTGTTGTGTTGAACATGATAATTAATTCTATAATTCTTTCATATAATATACAACTTGAATTTAGTAATCTCAAACTAAACGTCGACAAAAACGTGTAAAAATGCAGTCTTTTTTATTCACTTTTCAAACCTTTTCGTCCATTTGAATTATCTTCTTTAGGAACAAAAAATCGAATGATTTCGACTTCTTCGTTTGTTTCGGAATTTCTTAAACGTTTGAATTTCTTAGATGTCTAGTGCGCATCCCCGTAAGTAAAGAATTACAATATATACGGGATACTTTGGTTATTATTTAAGTGCAGTTAGAGAAGAGTGTAATCATAAAATTAAATTTTTATCAAAATCATTGATATAATATTTGACTGTTTTAATATTAACCAATTTCCATGGAGGATAGGCGATTAGTGCTGTCATATAAAGCAACACGCGTATCAGTTGCACGAAAATTCATATCACAAAACACTCCATGAACATGAGGACAACAGAAGGGGCACAGTAAGACAGTTAGATGCTCGTATTGTCCAAGAAACGGCGATCGAAAAGTAAGCACAATGCTCTAATTCCCAGTGTTTTGTATGTGAAAGACATGGAAACACTATTACAGCTGTAACTTGTGCAAGGAATTGCAGTAACGATTACAACTGTTTTTTTTTCTCTCAAATCTGAATGCAATAATATAATCATAGTACCTGCGAGAATTGCATCTTGATAATCAACGCTGAATAAAACGATTAATATATTAAAATATTTAAATTTTTTGGTTATTTATAGGAAGCATTTTCTAATTTGATATAAGGTTTTGCATAAAAATTATTTATTCAAATTAAAAAATCGGTTAGTAATAAAATTTATTTAACATACCGAAATATTAAATGGATATATCACTGCTAGCATTTTGGATAATTCTTCAGGTTTTTTTGCGTAAAAATTTACTCTGAATATATGATAGATGTGAGTATAATCCACCGCTTCTAATCTATCGTATGTTATTCCTGTAGGAAATCCAATATCCGCTTCCTAATTAAAAAATCGTTAATTTGTTTTAGGTAATTTATTATACAAGATATTACAATATTTCACTAGAATATAATATATTTTATCATATAAGTTTTAATATAGAAAATATGAGATGTATTTTGTGAATTTTATTGTGAACTTCATAAAAAATTATACTGTAACTTTCAAATATTACCGCCTGTACGCTCATGTAAAAATCCATTTGATTTTAGAAATAAAGATAACAAATCAAATTTGCTCTATGTGCTCTTTCGCGAAACAAAACTTATACAGATTTAATTGCGGATGCATTACAAACTGGAAAAAGATGAAAAATTGCTAACGCTGTAAATAAGTTATAGTGAGTCTGAGTAAGCCCGTTTGCATTTATAAAATTGGTAAATTCCATTAGGAATCATTTTCTCATAAATGTGTTTCTTTGGAAACAAAATATCCAGCGAAATCGTAATCGTACAATGATTTACAGTATGTGTTTTACGATTCTTATTTTTCCGGCTCTGTCGTACAGTACGTAACAGAGGGAAAGTATGGCGATCGGTCAAAAAGTTACCCCAAAGATTTTTATATTTTTGGACTGAAGACACCTTTAAACGTCGAGAAGTGCGAAAAACTTTGTATTTCTTTTCTCTATGTATGGATTTTAGTGTAGTGTGTATGGAGCACGATTTTGTTCACCTTCTTTGAAGCTTAGTAACTCCTATGCTTTATGTCGAAAATTTCTGAAATTTTGAAGGGAGGTTTGTTAATTAGGGGATTAATGCTATTAAAGTTTGGTAATTAAAGATCGAGGAGGTGGGAGATAAAGGGAGGTCGTGTGTCATATCTTAAGTAGAGTTAGACTTGATGTCGATTTTATTTGATATTAGCATTTTCAATTAAAAAAAACAAAAAACTCATCCCGACTTTCAAACTTAAGCTTTTAAAATTTTATTATAAACAAAAATATAACTGTTTTTTTAACAATAACTTATCATAACATATAACACTTCATATGCAGTTTTGAATGTTGCCGGAAAAGTTATGCATCTCGTTGCTGGATTTTTTATTTTGTGCTTAGGGCATACTCCAACGTGCTTCTCCTGAAGCAGCATAGAGTGATATTGAATATAATCTCCAAAGCTACTCTGCACTTTCGGTCGTGAGGTTTTCAGTTTAGCACATTTTTCTGCTTTATGCACTTTAAATTTTATTTTTTAAACTTTAAAATTAAGATTTTATTATATAGATTTCGACCCGAATTCTGGAGCTTCAGTTTTCCCTCCCTCTTTTGTGACTTGTCTTTGCTATTTATTGTAAAGTGACTCTTCAACTTCTCTTAAATACAGAAATGAGAAATAGTTTGTGATCAAAAATGAAGGAGAGTGAGAAAGCAGTGTTTTTTTTCAGATATTTATTTACCATGACATGTTAGATTCAGACGACGAATATCCGATAAAAGAGAGCATTTATTAAATACCAAATTTTTCCTTTAGGATTGATTTGACAATAGTATCAATATAAACGCTATCAAAAGTTGCGGGAGTTAGCTTTGAATGTAATGTCATGTGAAAATTTTTGTAATTTTTGTAATAAAACTTGTACTATATGTTTTTTATTTATTTTTCATTGTATAGAATTAATCGTTAACATTATCATTAATCATTTTTATGATAATTCTTTGCGGTTTAAACTTTCTAATTTGAATCAAAAGTTGCGAATTTATCTAGTTTTTAAATGGACGTTCGACTTGCATTAACATTTGAATTAGTGGCATTGGTTAAAATGATCGTTTTCAAAATAAATACAGGAATGTAAGAATAGTGTTGTGTGTAGATTGGCCTATACGTAATAATAAACAAAGAACTGTATATTTTTGATTTTGTTTTAATTCTTGTAAATAGTTTGAAGGATAGTATTAAAGAAAATAGGTCTACATACATTTCTGTGAACACGTCCATTGCGACCGGTCCAAGTTCCATTTTTTAATTTAATACCTTCATCAACATCTTCAAATAAATATGTGCTGTAATAAAACATATTTATGGAATATTTAAGAATGAAAACTCTCATAATTACAAATAATAATAATAATAGTAATTGTTTTATTGAAAAAATCTTCCTATTCAAAGAGTGTTGGCGCAACTGTTTGAAGAAATTCATATACACTAAAATTNCTGCTAGTCACATATATTTCTATAATATTAATTCATTAAAAAATCTTATTACATCTAATAATAAATAATTTATAACAAAATTTAAATTAATTAAGACTGATAAATAACAGAATATTTCTTCAGTAATATAATACTTATTAATTTCAATTAAAATATTGCTTCAAATATTGCTATTTAAGTAAATACAAGATACAGTACATACATATAAGTTTATGCAAATGAACAGTTTCAATTACTGTACATTGAAGACTGAACAATAGGAAGGCTGTTTTACTTTCCAGGATGTTATGTATACATAACATCCCGGAAAGTATAGGGATCGTGTCAATCTTGGTCCTCGAAGTTGAGACGTCCTGAAAACCAAACATGTCAAAAAATAGGAGGGAAAAATTATGGATATTTGTGTGTTGGTATCTATTTCGTTTAATATCTCGGGATAGGGTAATGATGAAGGAACGAAATTTGGCATGGTAATTTGTCTGCAGAGGGCATCGATGCTATTAAATTTTGGTGGTTAAAGGTTGAGGTGAGGGGAGATAGAGGGGTTATGTGTCATATCTTGAGAAAGGTCTGACTTAATGAAAATTTTACTTAATGAATGCAAATTATTAAAATTTATAATTTTTATAAGGTTTCACAGTCAAGCTTTTTAACATTTTATAATAAAAATCTCATATCAGATGGCGCCATATATAATTTTATTTATTATGGTTAATAATATAAAATTTATTTTTTGAAACAATCTCATAACACCGAGGAAAGTTACACGACTCGTTGCTGGATTTTTTTATCAATCATTTTATCTATCTTACTAACTTATAAGCTATTTTTTAAAAATCTATTTTTATCTCTTTCTTATTGTAAATTTACGATATGCTTTGTATTAATATTTCATATGTACAGTACTGTACTGTACATATGTATATTTTATGTGTGTATACACACACATAATAGAATATCCCTGTCTCTCTATTCTTAGCTTTTGGTCGATTTTCTCCAAATTTTTCTTGTTTATTCCCCGAGACTCTGAGTAAAATATAGACTTTCATGAAACCTGGACACTCCATTCCTCCAGTGCCGTCACTAGCCATTCCTGTGCCCTGTGCAGGAATTTGCATTTAGGCCCCTTAATTAATTAGGTTTGGAAAAGTAATAAACAAATACATGCATTTTGGGCCTCTCTTCCAAGTGGGCCTTGTGCGAGTGCACCTGTTGCACCTGCCTAGTTACGGCACTGCATTCTTGCACAGTGCACAGGAATGGCAAGTTACGGCACTGCTTATAGGCATAAAATTAAGCGACAAAGGTAATATAACATAGAGTTATTTTACTTTGTACATTCAATTATCGGATTACGGACGCTTTTGTTTAAAAACAATTTGGTTTTCGAACAAAATTTTTAACTCCATATTTACTACGGTTGCCGTACGATAACTCGGTTTCCGAACAAGCTACTCGGCAGAGTTTACTATCAATGGTCAACTTTCTATGCTTCCTACGTTAAAGAAAGCCGACTAATCAACGATAGGACTACCGATTTAAAAGTTAGTGGCACCGAGATCGCCTTGCATTACGTAAGGAATCACCGATGACTTTGCTATTTAAATTACATTTTAATGCGCGTGCGAGAAAAATATTATTGCCGTTTTTTGGTACGAGTCATAGCTGAATTTAAATCAAATTAATTAATAAAACCCGATTTAATTGATATTCACATAATACAAGTGGCATTCAAGAATTCATATTTAAATATGCTCAAGGTAAATTAAATAACAAAAATTTATTAATGTAATATTATACGAGGGTAGTCCCAGAAGTACTTGACCTAACAAAGAAGACACAAAAAATTTGGTAAAACATATCTTTATTTTTCAACATAGTCTCCTTTTAGCTCGATACACTTTTTCCAGCAATGTACAATAGCTTCGATCCCCTGTTTATAGTGAGAACTGTCGGGCTTCTCAAAATAGCCATCAACCGCAGACTCCACCTTTTCATTGTTGGCAAATCTTTTATCACCAAGCCATGTTTTTAAGTTTGAAAAGAGAAAATAATCCGAGGGGCCTAAATCTGGCGAATAGGGTGCGTGAGAAAGCAATTTGAACCGTAACTCATTGATTTTGGCCATCGCAATAACGGATGTGTGAACTGCGTTGTCTTGATGAAACAACACTTTCTTTTTCGCCAAATGTGGCCGTTTTTTCTTGATTTCATCACTCAAGCGCTGCAATAAGTTCGCATAATACTTGCCGTTGATTGTTTTTCCTGGGCGCATCCCAAAAAACTGACGCCATGACCTTGCCAGCAGATGGAACTGTTTTCGCCTTCTTTGGAGCTGATTCTCCCCTTTCAGTCCATTGTTTCGACTGTTCTTTCGTCTCAGGTGTGAAGTGATGGACCCATGTTTTATCCATGGTTATGAATCGACGCAAAAACTCGGCTTTGTTGCTGCGAAACATTGCCAAAGACTCGATTGAAACATCCTCACGACGCTATTTTTGTCCCATTGTGTGCAAACGCGGCACCCATCTTGCGCACAGCTTTCTCATGTCCAAATTTTCAGTTAAAATGCGATGTACAGCACTTTTTGAAATGCCTTCCATGTCTGCTAGCCCTCGAATTTTGAGTTGACTGTCATCCAATACCATTTTGTGGATTTTTTTCACCATTTCTGGCGTGGTCACCTCACTTGGTCGACCACTATTATGTTCGTCTTGGCAGCTCGCACGGCCTCGTTTAAACTCTGCCACACAATACTTTTTTGTTGTAAACGAGGGAGCAGACTCCCCCAGAGTAAAATCTAGCTCAGCTTTAATATTGGTTGGACTGAAACCTTTCAAATGAAAGTATTGTATCACATAACGATGACAAATTTTTTCCATGTTTGCAAATTCACTGAGATTGTTCACTATTTATCGCTGCCAAAAAAATACTATACAACGTAACGTCTTCAAACTTCTAACTTAAGCTTTATAAGGTTGATACTTTCGAACACATTCGTTTTTTTTTTTCAAACAAGTACCGCCATCTATGTCAGGTCGGGTACTTCTGGGACGACCCTCGATATATTATAATATCAATATTTATTTTTACTAGATAGCCAGTTAATTAAACTGAAACTAAAACTTAAATAAAATAAAAATTAATTTTGAACTCAAATCAATTCAAACACAATAGTTCGGAAAGTGTGGATAAAAAACCTGTTGTCTGTGTTGGTTGATTTGATTATACTGTATATCATCTTGGCAGTCAGGGTTGAATCTCTATTCAAAGCACTTCTTTATAAAGAGAGTTAGTTTCGGTTTCGGTTGGAGGTTACAGAACATTTTGTTTTTAATATATTTATATAATAAATATAGGTATACATATAGATAAAGTAATATCATAAATAATATTATATTGCCTTTGTAAGAATTTTATGCATGAAATACAGCTAAAGAGGTAAAAAAGAATGTATTGTTTTGGAGTCGAGAACGGATTAATCCATTTTAAATTGTTTCTTATGAGAAAATTTATTCCTGTTTGAGAAGAAATCGGTTTTCGAACAACTGTTAGGAAGGAATTCAGTTTGTAAATCGAAGTTTAATCGTATCTCAATTTGCTACTCGTAGTCCAATCTCGCCATCCCGAAAATCAGCCGTATTTTATGAGATAAGAGAAAAAAGAATAGTCCGTGGATAAGGTGACACACAATAATGGGTTACCATAAAAGCAAAGCCATATTGACAAGATCAAAGTTGTTTTTGTTCTATTGTTCTCTTATATCAAGGAGGCACTTCCATACAAATGAACGAATTAACGTACGTTTATGACAGTTCGGATAGAATTTTCACTTCGAATTTCGAATTAAACAAATTTCTTAACATGTAAATCTCCATATCTTCAGTCGGAACAAATAGTGCAGTTCCAACTATCCGAGTTCGAATTAATTAACGAGCGTTTGTTGCAAATCTTCGTTAATTAAAAATTTAACTTTTTTATATACTTATATTATGGTTTTAATTATATAATTTTAATTTACTTTTTATGTATTATAATTTATTATTTATATGCATATATTTTATGCTATTTTATTTCTAATAATTCCTACCTGAATCCCAAGCCATCTTGTAAAAGTAGAAAAAAATCAGCAAGATTTCCACTATGTCGGATGAATTCTGTTATGTTATTAATTTCTCTAAATTTGATTACATTTTCAATCTGTCAAAGAATATGAATTCAATTTAAATATATGTGCTAAAATTTATTTCTGTCATAAAGATATTGATAAATAGTAGTAATTATACAAATCTCTTAATTTTGGTTACAGTTATAGATAAATTAATATACCTCATAGATTGTCAACTATAGAGAATAGTGGCATACAAATTTTAAGTTATATTCATATAAGAATAACAACACGAATACAGTGGGTGATCGGTTAACGAACATAATCCGTTTCAAGACTTTGTTCGCTATCCGAATTGTTCGTTAACCGATTATCGATTTACCATAGTTTTGAATGGAAATATGATTAATTCGTTCTGGAAACTCCAAAAATTAAAAAAAATTATACTTCCCTACTACGTTTATTTAGCCTATATATGATAATAAAAATACACAGTCTTGCAATTTTATTACTCGTTTTTCCGTTTGTGGGGGTTAAAGAATCTATCCAATGTCGATTGCTTTTCTCTCGTCTTCAGGATTTTTCAAAAATTTTCCTAAGCCTATTAACCTCAACCTGGTTTGGATGCCATTCTAAGACCGTTGTTCTGACATCTCCCACCTCTTCAAAAAATTTTTAATAGCACTTATCGGCATTAATCTTTCTTTTTCAGAAGAAAACATATCTCGCCGAGTTTCTTGGTGTTCTTCTGTCGTTAGATCGGTTTCAGTTTCCATTATGAGCTCTTCAATATTCTTTATTTCTCAGATGTGATTTTTATTACTCCTTTAGCTGCTTGAGTCTTCTTGATTATACTGTATCTTTCTTAGATAAGATTGAACTGCGCTCTACTGTAGACCTGTTCGAGCCATACTGCCAAGCAACATCAGTCATCTTCTGCCCACTCTCTCTCTACCTTTGCTATTATACTCTCATCTTTCGAAAAAAAAACAACGCAAAACTTAACGAGTGCCCGCCCGACATTCTCGCGAGTACTATAAAATAATTGTTTCTGTCAGAAAAATAAGAGTGGAATTAGAAGAAATAGTTTCAAAGTTTGGAGGAATACTATCCGATCAGTGTATATAGGGTTGAGCGTCGATGTCGACATCTCCCGCACTCCAAAATGCTTCGAATTGTTGTCCGAAGACGTGGGAAGACCAATCGGTATTCATTATTTTACGTCGCTTATTATTGTGTTTGTTCTGTGAGGTGTTCGTTGTCCGAACATAAAAAGTGTTCGTTATCCGATTTGTTCGTAGTCCAAACTGTTCGTTAATCGATCACCCACTGTATATTGAATATTATCTAAAATGATTTCGAAATATTTTACAATGTATCAAACTGATCATTGCACAGATAATTTATATTATTTCAGAACAAGTTACAGAACGTAATTTCGTGTTTTATATATTATGTATGTACAGTTAAACCTCGGTTTTCGAACGTCTCACTTTTCCAACAATTCGGTTTACGAACAGAATTTTTAACTCGTAACTGTACAGGTGCCGAACAATTTACTCGGCAAGAGCCAGCCACAGATTATAGAAACACAGATGTCAACACAACACTCCATACTTCCTAACAAGTAAGTTAAAGACAATCGACAGCCCAATCAATCAACGAAGGGACGATTGATTCAGAAGTTAGTGGCACCAAAATCATTACACGTTAGGACATGACACATCGATGACGTTGCTATTTAAATTAGATTTTAACGCGGATACGAAAAGGTACTACTGTACTTCTGTTTTTCGGTATACGCGCAGATGAATCTAAATCAAATTAATTAATAAAATTCGTTGCATTTGTAGTCATTTACATACATGAAATACAGCTAAAAAGTAAAAAAAGGTTTTGTTTTGGAATCCAAAAATTTTCTGATAAACAATATAAAATAAATTCATTTTATATATTTTTTTTACGGTAAAATTTGTTTCGGTTTCAGAACAAATCGGTTTATAAGCAATTTTTCGGAACGAATTATGTTCGAAAACTGAGGTTTGTATTTTTAATAACGTTTATAAGTTACTCTTCAACTGTAATGAAATATTTTATTTTAATTGTCTTATAATTTCATTATTCTTTAACTATTTAACTATTTACTGTATTCCAGATAATAATTGATTGACTGTAGCAAATATTTTGTTTTTTTCAGTTGACATTGTAATTATTTATCCTAATCATGTTAATTTACTTTACCTATAGCAATTAATTTAAAAATGGTTAAAATAAAGATATCTTCCAACTTAATTACAGGTGCTATTGACCACCCTTGACGAACCTTTATGTCCGATAAGAAAAACGTTTAATAAGTCGTCCAACGAACGTTTTCGACCATAGTCAAGGTCTTCTTCAGATTAAAGTAAGAACGAACTCCAAACTTGGAATGCTTGAAACAGAACAGATTTTAAAATATTAAGTTTTAAAACGTTTGGAATGTAATAATCAACTGAAATTTAACAGTTGGGAAGCGTGAAATCCAAACTATACACATAGGGCAACACGTGTGTCTATTATTTGTAGAATCGGTATAAAAGTAAATAATATACAATCAAAGTGTATTAGCGGTACCACGTTTCTCTCCCACGTAACGCCAGGCTTACGACAATGAGTTACTGTCCTTAAAATTCATGCACCTTCCCTGCCAACCGGCCTTATATATTTATAGGGCCTCCAGGGCCCTAATGCGATCGGTGCGAAAGGCTCTTTTTATCAGTCTGGTGCCTAGGAAGGTCAGCTTGCACTTCTGGGTCGGTGGCATAAGTGAATAGGGCAGTAGTGTGATTTTTGTTGTCAATGTCGTACTTGTGTTCCTGGACTCTTTGTTGAACTGACCGATGAATACCAAGTCTCTTCGAAACCTGTCGTTCCTCACTGGAACACTGTCCACACCCGGGCTCTAAGGTCGTCAGATTTATCTTTCGCATTTCGTAATAACGTATATATTGGTTGGAACCATTTGTAGGCCAAGTTGGTGCCTGTTATGCCCGCTATTTCCTTACACATGCCTTGTATATCGGCCTTGTATATCGGCCCCAAATAATAGACACACATGTTACCTCTTGTATAGTTTGGATTTCACGCATTCCCAACCGTTAAATTTCGGTTGGTTGTTACGTTCCGAAACTTTTTAAATTAAACTTAATATTTTAAAATCTGTTTCGTTCTAAGCATTCCAACTTTGGAATTCGTTCTTACTCTAATCTGAAGAAGACATTGAAAATGGTGGAAAACGTCGTTGGACGATTTATTAAACGTTTTTCTTACAGGGCATAAAAATTTGTCAAGGGTGGTTAAAATAGCAGAAACTTAAAATCAAAGTAAACTGTTTTTTCGTAAGAACTAAAATTCTTTTCTGACGATAGGAAAGATATGTATAGGCCTAAATTCACTTGAAAAAATAAAATATTTAAAAGAGAAATTACTATATGATCATTGTATACTTTTGAGGTCACTGCTAATTAAAAATATAAATAATTTCTTTAAAGATTATCCCACTATTCTTGTTAGTGATAAAAAATACTTATTCTAAAAATCATATGAAAATATCACGTGATTTTAAGAATAAGTTAAGTATTTACGTTTAATAATAAATAACTTCGTTTAAATAAACCTTATTTCCAATTATTTTTAAATAGATTACGTAAGTAATAGTAAATTTTTTAAATTTGAAGACACATAACTTACCTGAAACGTTGCTACCCGAAGTGTCACATTCTCTAAAGGTTTTCTCATTGTTAAGGTATGTCATAAACAGATAATACCAACTACTGGCTTTCTTTTATTTCACCTATGTGTAAGCAAATGTATATTATGAAGAAAAATTCATAAAGACATTTTCATTTAAATTCATATTTTCCCAAATTTGACTCTTTGAAATAAAGTGAATTAATATTAAGCGAATAGCCTATCAGTTTACTTCTACAATGAATGACGCTTATCATATAAAGACGAGAGAGAACAATAGTCAAATTATTCAAATTTAATTTTGATTACTTGGGGACAGATTAACATGGGGAATGCATTTCGGGTAAACATACCCCTCATCATCCCAATGAGGGGTTAAAATTATAGCTCTAAACACAATAAATATCTAAAACATTTTAACAAAAACAGTTTACATACTAATATTACAAGTAATACAGTGCACTGTGTATACAATTGCTCTGTTAATTACAGAAAATACTAAATATAAAATGAATAAATTCTTCATTTTATAAAATTTAAGTATTTTAAACAATTCGAAAAAGTAAAAGTGCATACATGAATTTAGAATTTATATGATTCTGCATACTATATAATAGGAAAAGGGGGAAAGGTGAAGGCCTATTAAATCCCATACCAAAAGGGGACAGTCCTATGAGCACATACCATGTAAATTTTCTCGGACCACTACCCTCAACGAACAAAAACTACCAGCACATATTGACGGTAGTAGATAGTTTTACTAAGTTTGTGTGGTTTTACCCCGTTAAATCAACAACTACACGAGATGCTTTAGATAAGCTGAGGATACAACAAGCAGTATTTGGAAACCCGTCTCGTATTGTCACGGATCGTGGAACCGCTTTTACTTCCAAAGAATTTAACGATTATTGCACCAACGAGATGATTGAGCACATTACGATTGCCACAGGTATTCCTAGGGGAAATGGACAGATAGAACGTATGCATAGCATCTTGATCCCCGTTTTGGCGAAACTCGCGCAAGAAGACGCTACAAAGTGGTACAAATATGTTTCGGACGTCCAAAGAATCATCAACAGTACGCCAACGCGTAGTACGAGATATACACCTTTTGAAATTTTGGTCGGTACCAAAATGAAAAATAAAGAAGACCTGAGAATAAAAGAGATTTTGGAAGAAGAATTTTTAAATTGTACGATGCAAGATAGAGACAAGATTCGAGAAGATGCCAAACAAAACATCTTGAAACTACAGGAGGAAAATCGTAAATCCTACAATAAGAAAAGAAAACCAGCTCCCAAATATCAGGTCAACGACCTTGTTGCCATTCAGAGAACTCAGTATGGGACAGGACTCAAATTAAGACCTAAGTT